GTGTGTGCTTGCGCATGCACACATGCGTGCATGTCCACATACACAGAATACATGTACATATACGTCCTGAACCAAGAGCGCATGCCGCAATCGAGATTTCATCAATTTTTGTCACAAATGACCTGGTAACCTGTGACGTCACACTGAAACCCCTTGGTTAACTACGAACTGGCTTATCAAAATACACATTTTTGGCTGTTTTATACCATTATGTAAAGCAACGTCTAAAAATCGTTACACAATCAGTAAATCAATCACATGCTCTCTCTTATTATCAAATTCTTTTACGAATTTACCTCTTAACCCCATCATAGACAATCTATCTTGTTTCAGCTAAAACTAACAGTTTTTAGTATACATGTACAACTTCACGTATACAATAAATTCATATTAGAACAATAGACTTGGTTTAGCTATAAAAGATGTGATTCTAATGGGTTCGTTTTTGCACTTAAGTAGTTAAGGCCATATTGGTATTGAATGCGTGTGTTTACACTCTTCAGAGCTGGGTGGGCCTTGATTTACCTAATCTGGGTAACAAGCCTCATGTACATTACAATCTTTTTGAAAGCCGGTGTCATAATTCATGCACAAAATGCTGGTGTATTGCAACAAAAATGCAATATGTTTTTAGCAGATATAATTAACAGCGCTCACTTATTATATAGTGTGGTGAACAGAGCGATATATTTTCATAAAACAGCCACATGTTATACGCAGCACTGCAGCCTGCATAGATTACATAAATATATGGCTAGATAACTATAAGCCCTAGACTACATACATGTATACCAAAAATAAATAGTACAGTCCGACCTCCTTTATCCGGCCACGTCGTGACCGGCACCCATCCGGATATGGGATTTGGCCGGATATGAGAGTTATGCTCAAACACAGCATTTCTATGCAGTTCAGTAGGGGTTATGCGTGTGATAATGTATTTACTCGTTGCTACAATTGATTATTTGTAACAAACTGTCGTGTTTTATGGTTTATATGAAATGGAAATAAAATGAAACAAGAGCCGCAGAGCTCTAACCCTAACCCAGACGCTAATTTATTTGAATTTGAATTTGACAGACAGTATTCACTTGCGTACGTGTGAACGCTCCGACTCCAACCGGCCCGAGCCAAATTTGGCCCGAGGCAAATTTAGCCTATTTGGCTCGAGCCAAACCATGACCGTGTGAACAGTGTATATGGTGTGAACAGTGTATATGGTGTGAACAGTGTATATGGTGTGAACAGTGTATATGGTGTGAACAGTGTATATGGTGTAGGGACAGGATACCATGCAGTTTATGTCAAATCTTGCCGTTTATTTAATTGTTTGTCAAATGTTGCCAAACTTGATTTTTGTGTTTATTATGTAATTATGTATTTCTTTCCTGCCTCGAGAAGGGCCGTTCAAGAAATAAAATCATTGTCATTGTTATTGTCATTGTAAGTCGATGGCGTCTCACGAGAGCGAAAATCACGCGCTAGTTTTATCGATTATGTAAACAAATCTAATTTGTAATGCAGATCGGAGCACGTATTGCTGTAAAGAGTGATGTGTTTTTAAAGAGTGTCTCATGGCATGTGCTTACAATACACACTTGGTGTCACGCAAGGCTGGAGAAAACATGAGAAACCCTAGCTTTAAATATTATGCTAGTAAACGGGCCCGCCCATATTCAATCATGAGCTAGGCATCTCGAATCGATTTCTTTTTTATAACTAAACTTATATTATTCTTACAGTTATTTCTTTTATTTTTGATGGTTAGAACGTAGCTCGTACGCGTTGAATAAAGAGTCCATATATGGTCATGATCAATTTGCATCTGCGACATCAGAGAGAGTGTATGCATGCATATAATTTACACCTATGCTGCGTACATGTGTATCTATTTGTGAAAATAACATCGAATATAAATCACTAAGATCAGTGGATGATGTTCCATACGTGTACAATAGCTTACCATGTCGATGTTCTAGAAATAAACAATAACTTACCATGACAATGTTCCAGAAGTGAACAATAGTTTACCAAGACAATGTTCCAGAAGTGAACAATAGCTTACCATGATGATGTTATATAAGTAAACAATGGCTTACTATTATGATGTTACAGAAGTGAACAATGGCTTACCATTATGTTGTTCCAGAAGTGAACAATGGCTAACCATGACGATGTTCCAGAAGTAAACAATGGCTAACCATTATGTTGTTCCAGATGTGAACAATGGCTTACCATTATGTTGTTCCAGAAGTGAACAATGGCTTACCATTATGTTGTTCCAGAAGTGAACAATGGCTTACCATTATGTTATTCCAGAATTATATATGTGTGTGTTATGACGTCAGCTGACTTAATTATGACATATGATATGACGCAAGCTAATGTCGTTATGACACGTGTTATGACGTAAGCTAATTTGATTATGACGTGGTATAACATGCGTTATGACATACACTAACCTAACTATGTATCTAGCCATCATCACAGATTCATTGTTGATCAATTACTCACGATAGGTTTTTGCGATGTCGTTGATTTCGTGTTGGACGCTAGAGACCGTAGCAAACACCTATATCAGTAGCATGCAGCAGCGGCAGTTTTAACGCGATAATCTCTCAAATAAATCGAGAAATTAATCAATGTAGACAAATTTAGTCTCACCTTTCAGCGTACATATTATTGATTACTTCAACGTAAAAAATATTACGAGTTATAGGCCATAAAACAGTCAATGAACTACGATCGTACGCCTGCTATCTTGAGATTCGATTGAATGGAACTTTCAAACGCTTTCTGAAAAACAAGTGTACGTAGTTACGTGACGCAAATTTTTATAGACTGCATGGTACCTACCTCGAGTTGTAGGCAACGGTAACATGAGGCGCGTTCACACGGACGTTTTTGGCCCGAGCCTAATTAAGGCTTAACGCACACACCCGAGCAAAACACCTGAACGTGGAGCAAAACATGTTTCGCTCGATGCAGGGCCGTACGCAGCAGGGGGGCAGCAGGGGCAGTTGCCCCCTAAAGATTTTCAGAGTATGCCTTTTAATGGGACAAATATTGTACACTTTT